TTCTATGTATATGGTTCTGTTTTCCTTTCCTTGTGCCTCTGTATTTTAATGCTTTGTGTGTCTGAAAAATAAACCAAGCGTAGTTGTGACATAACCAATACTTTATATTTTATTGGATGCTTTTGGATGCCTGGATCCACTTAAATATAGATACAAATAATCCTCTTTTTCTAACTGTCATATTGTTTAACCAATTCCAATTTTCCACATTATGCAACGTTGTAGCCTAAAATAGGTAAAGCCTGAATAATTAATTATGCAGGTCATTTAACACAAGACAAATTTTGATGAATTCCATCTTAACTCTGTCTGGTTTTGGTTAAGGTTTCTGACTTCTGCTGACAGCTATTATACTTATACAAGGTACATTAATTTTAACATCCGTTTCTCTTGTGATTCTAAACCAAAATATTTTAAATAAAAATAGATACTACCATGAAAATGAACCAGAAAATGTAGAATACTTCATCAACAACACCACTGTAAAAAGGGGGAAAAGGGTAATGGATACAGAATTGATTATGGTTTTCAAACGAGTTTTGCTATAATGGAATAGAAAAAAAATAGAATATTAAATCATGTGTTTATCTAAGTCAGTAGAAAATCAAGGAAGACAAAAATTGCCAGACTGTGATGGAATTAAAGGACACGATGTGTGCAGCATATATAACTAATGGAGTGAGAAAACTTCTTTTACTTAATGAATCAGGAAGCTTATGTTGTTTATAGACAGATCAGTCATTTCAGTTGTAGTAGAAATCCAGATGTCAGTAAGGCTGGGTAGCACACTGTCTAAATCTTTCATTCCAATTATTGTTTAGCTAAAATGTGTTATTATCAGTGAAAATCTATTACAGGTAACAAATAGATGAACGTAACTCACAATGCATTGTTATTGTTCACTGTTTAATGAATAATAAAATTTTAGTAATTTTTTAATCTTAATTGTAGGAATATTTCAAATATATTTATTATTATATCAACATGAAACCTATGAATTATTATATCACTTATGCTATCAATTAAAATATACAATTATTATCATCATAAGAATAGCATTTCAATAATAAAGAATGACTTTTTTGTAATAAAAAATAGATACCTGTATTCACTACATTGTAAACCATATTGCCATATTGGCGATGCAGCATTCTTCAAAATTCTATTCAGTATATATATTCGCATAATAATGGCTAGATAATAAAAAAATGTTTTGTTTACTTTGTATTTTAACAATAACATTCTCCCAGCATTAAATCTATATCATCCCTTTGTAACAATAATCTATGAATATTTTAACACATGTGTACTCGGTGGGGTGTATTATCATGCTGATATAAATAGAATTAATGAGCAGTCAACCTGCCACATGTCATGACATATGACGGGGCAGCTCGAGCAGGAGAATATTTTTTTTTTTTTAGTTGCATTAAGGCTTCTTCAATATCTAATCACTTCCAAACTGTAACCAAGCCATTGTTTAAGTAAAGAATGTATTTCTTTTCTTTTTTTAAACACTTTCAATTTTATTAAGGATTTTGGGCATACCAGTGCAAGTGTACACGCACAATAAGAACATCGACAGCAATCAAAAACAATAACATAAAAACAACAAAAACAACCAATGTGGCGTTCAGATTAAAGCACAGTGAAAATAGTTATTTTCTAAAACCATTATATGCAACAACAACAAAAAATGGATAAAAAATATATAATAAAAACATTGGAATTCAGATGTTTAATTATGAACAAATAAAGGTGCGTATCTGTGGTTGGTGTTCAATAGCATGTCATCTGCTTACAAGATACATTGAAAACTCATTGTGTTACTTCATTATTAACTACTTATTTTACAGATTGGAAAAGTTAACTTTTATTCTTCAGCTATTTAACCCCTTAAGGACCAAACTTCTGGAATAAATGGGAATCATGACATGTCACACATGTCATGTGTCCTTAAGGGGTTACATTTTTTACTGCATTTCCTTTCCTCGTCTGTCACAAGAGTTAATGGTGCTACTGTGAGCAGAAAACACGCTGCGAACAACAAAATTATAAAACAGGGTTATTTACTAAATTGAGAAATGTTGGGAGTTCAAAGTGAATTTCAAATTTAAGGTGTAAATATCCGAGGTGGAAACATTCCCCAAGTCAGTTATGCTTTTAGTTGGGCTATTTTGCTCTAAAATGTCAATAAATGACTACTAGACTTCATGCACATACAAATCTTGCTTATAAAAAAAGAATTAAAATTAAGTCTACATACTGCGCCAAGATCTATCATGCAAAAATGTAAAACCCCTTCATATTTTTTGCCTCGTATAGTCATTGCAAATAGTAATATTTATTTAGGCCAAATTCCCGATAGTTCATTAGAAAGCTGTCTAGCTATCAAAAAAACAACACCATCAGCAAGTGTATCTCTCTGCTTCAACATTTAAAGGAATACTAAATACAAATCTGTATTCTTAAAAATTTAGTGCCCCTGTATACATAGGTCCCTTCCCTTTTGTGCCGTAAAAATAATAAAAGAAAGGTTTTTACTCAATTTATTTTTCCGCCTTACACAACATCATGGAGAAGGCATGGTGTCCGCTGACACAGTCCAATCCAACGCTCCTTATAGGCAAGCATTGAGGACCTGAAAGTATGAAATCAGTGCTTTCCTGTGGTGGCTTCTGCAACACATGACCGAGTTTTACTCTGTCAGTGCCATGCTAGCGCCTCTAGTGACTAGAGGTAGACTTAACCACGCAATGTAAACAAGCAGTTTCTAAAAAAACTAAAGGACCACTGCATTGAGATGAAGTGGCCTGGCTATACATCACTATTTATTTCCCATTTTTCCCACATTGTTATCAGCACCTGCAATGTTTGCATTGATATTATCACCCTATGTTTAGGCATAACAAATTTTTCTGTTTGAATTTGTGTAATCTTTTTTTTTTTTAACACATCTTTTGTATTGCATAAAGACTGCACTGTGTGCATTTTTGAACTTTTTAATGTAGCAAAAAAACTAAAATAAAAGTTTTTTCATAAATTTCTTAATTTTTGGAGTATGGCATTATTGCTTTATATAATATTGATGCTTGGATGCTTGTGTAGTCAACAGGCATATAGATATTAAGGATAACATTATTTTACAGTTATTTATTTGTAATGGCACATAATAGTAAAGTAGCTTTCATTTTATAACTTAGACTGTTTTATTGCATGCTGCACTAATTAGAATCAGTCCCTAATTTTGAAATTTTTATTTTTGTCCCAAGTCTTGTATTTTGGTCTAACATTCAGCTCACCCCAACTCACCATTTATTGAATAGGTCCTCACTTTGGAATTCTGTTTGGACACTGGTGCCTAGACATTGTTCATGCTTACGCCTACAGCAATATGCAGGCTCTGGATCAAGTGTTCATGGGAAATGGAACCGAAGAGAAAGCTTTTTAAAGTGATTTATTAAAATGACGAATTAGACATGATGAGAAAAATAGTGTAGAGCCAAATATGGGGAGACAAGGAATATTTATTTAGCTTTCCAATGCAAACATTAAACACTAACGATTTTAAGGCTTTAAAGAAACAAAAACAACTTATAACTGAACCATCTGATATATTTTTATATTTATAGATGTCAGTTAAAAAATGTTTATTATTCGCATGTAAAAAAATATAAACTAACTCCAAAAATATTAAATCCTTTAAAAATCTCTGTTGAGCTGTAATAGCATAAGTCATAGAGATTTCACTTGCAAAGACAGCACTGTAGAGATAATGTATGTTCTTATTTTCCCGTCAAGAATGTTATTCGGTCCAGAAATCTGTGCCAACTCAGTGGTTGTAAAAGTATAATCTCACATTTTCCAGACATATAAAAATGACTTGAAATGGGTCTAGGCAAATGTGACATATATCATTTTTTACTATTGATAAAAAAAAAAAGGAGAGACTAGTTGACTCAAGCATTTATGTACACACTGGCTTGGCAGAGTCATGGTTCCGGATTCCATTATTTATAACAAGGGTTTGATCTTTACCAAGTCCATGCAAAATCATATCAGAGGCAAGCCATACCTTTAGTATTGCAGTTAAACGGGCAGTCTTCTACACCACCATAACAACACAAAACATTCCTTTAACGTTATGCAATAACATTGAAATGTTTCTCTAAATCTCCATTCAAATTCAGTTGAGCTTGGGCATGTTAGGTGTCATAATTTAACACCGAGGGCATCCCTAGAGAACTAGTATGACTTTTTTCAGGAAATGTCTTTTTACCAGAATAGAGGATAATCTAGTAATCGGCACCAGAAATTAATACTCAGATTTTTTTATTTATGGTCTCCAAATATGGCAAGATGCATCCCAGCACCTCCCCTGTGCACTTCCAGTGCTTTTTTGCAAACCCTAGCAGTCACAATACTTGATTCGTACCAAACTCCAACAGATTCTTAATTAGTCTTTATTTAATTAGACAGATATACTCAAACAATACAGAGAGCTGAGCATAATACAGACATACTCATACAATACAGAGAGCTGAGCATAATACAGAGAGCTGAGCATAATACAGAGATACTCATACAATACAGAGAGCTGAGCATAATACAGAGATACTCATATAATAAAACAAGCTGGGCACAACATAAAGATATATATAAAATGCATAGAACTGAGTACAATATAAAGATAACTATACCACAAACAGAGCTGAGAAAAAATGTATATATAATACACAGAGCTGGGCACAACACAAAGGCATTTTTACAATACAAAGAGCTGGGTATACTACAGAGATACAACCGGTAGACCTGAGTAAAATACAGAGAAATAACACACATAGCTGGGCACAATAAGGAGATACTCATAACTATCCCACACATCCAGGATCACTGTGATGGATTACACAGAGCTACAATCAGGGCCGGTGCAAGGATTTCTGCCGCCCTAGGCAAAAAAGATTTTGCCACCCCCCCCCACCCATATGTCCTGCCCATCATGTGACATCACAATGCCCCGCCCATATGCTCTGCCATATGGGCCAACGCCAGTCTTCACAAAGTGTCTTTTATCTGAAAAGGCAGTGTGTTTACATTAAAAAGCCTACAGGCACAGGCTATAGACACCAGAACCACTACATTAAGCTGTAGTGCTTCTGGTGACTATAGTATCCATTTAATGTGAGGTAAATTAGAGATTAGTGTCACTAATAATATATTGGATTGCCTACTTACCACCATATGAGGAGAAGAGGCTGATGATGGGCTCTGTCTGGCTCCACAGGTCTGGTGTAGAAGAGGCTTTCTGGAGACTGTTTTTAACAGTGCTCACAACAATTAACGAACAGGAAGCAGCTCCATTTTTTAGGGCCCCTTACACAGCTCAGGGTCTGGGCCCCCAGGGCTTGACCGTGAGTATGCCTACAATGCCCACCCATAAATCCACCTACATGGCCCACCCGTGAGTTCTCTCACAGGAAGTGGAGTGTATGTGTGGAGGGGATGTTTTATGTGTTATTGTAGAGGATGCAACGTGTGTGTGTTCTTATAGAATGTAGTGTATAGGAATACCAATTTCTATAAGGGATGTAGTGTGTTTATAGGGGATGCAGTGTGTGTTTGCGTGTAAGGAATGCATTATATGTTTCTGTGTGTGTGTGTGTGTGTGTAAGGGGTGCAAGGTGTGTTTCTGTGTATTTAATTGAATGCAGTGTGTGTCTGTAAAGGGTGCATTGATTGTGTAAGAGATGCATTTTGTTTCTGTGTGTAAGAGAATGAGTTTGTGTGAACGTAAGGGATGCATTGTGTGTTTCGGGTGTGTGAGTAGGAATGCATTGTATGTTTCTGTGTGTGTGTGTGTGGGGGGGAGGATGCATTGTGTATGTGTGTAGTGTAAAAGAGAGGGTTTGTGGGGTAGGATAGGGACTGAGAGGGGAGCAGCTCTTTATTTTTTTAATTTTTTGCATAGTGCTCACCCTCCTGTCAATTATTGATTCCCCCTTCCCTCCTGTCCCTTAGTGCTCTCCCATGGTCCTCCATCCCTCCCCTTAGACATTCCCCTCCTCCCCCCACCCCCTTAGTGGTAATCTCCCCCTCCTAAGTGGTCATTATCCTCTTTCTCCCCCCCACCCCCCTTAGTGGTCCTTACCCTCCTCCCCTCTCCTTAGTGGTCCTCCCTACTTACCCCCCTTTGGTGGTCCTCCCTCTCCCAAACCCCTTAGTGGACCTCCCCCCTCCTCCCTCAGTGGTCCTTTCCTCCCTTCCCTCAGTGGTCCTTACTCCCCACCCCCCCCTTCCCCAGTGGTTCTTACTCCCCTCCTCCTTCCTCCCAGTGTTCTTCCTCCCCCAGTTGTCCTTACTCCCTCCCTCCCTTGGTCCCTACTTGTTCCCCTCCCTCCCCTTGTGGTCCTTACTTGTTCCCCCTCCCTCCTTGTGGTCCTTACTTGTTTCCCTCCCCTGTGGTCCTACTTGTGTCCCTCCCCTTGTGGTCCTTACTTGCCCCTCCCTCCCCTTGTGGTCCTTTGTGTTACCCCCCTCCTCCCCTTGTAGTCCTTACTTGTCCCCCCCTCCCCTTGTGGTCCTACTTGTCCCTCCCCCTTGTGGTCCTTACTTGTTTCCCTTGTGGTCCTTACTTGTCCCCCCCTCCCCCTTGTGGTCCTTACCCATGTATGTAGCGTGGCCGGGCGGCGCGGAACGCGGGACAGGAACCTCTGTTTCCTGTTCCCGGCCGCCGGCGGACTGAAGGGAAGTGCTCACTGTGCCACGCTACATTGAGAGACCGGCTCTGCACTTCCCTCCTGCCGGTCACTGAAATCTGGCCGCCCTCCACAACAGTGCTGCGCCGCCTGAGGCTTGTAAAAGCGCTCAGGCGGTGCAGCATGAGGAGCCGCCGGGCGCAGGGATCCTTACAGGTGGCGTCGGCCCTGGCTACAATACAGAGATACCCACACAGTACATGTTTCTGTATAATGCTCCAGCTCTCCAGCTCTCCATCTCTCTCTCTCTCTCTCTATCTATCTATCTATCTATCTATCTTCCTTCCTAGCAACTGAATGAAAATTCCTGAAATTCCTTTTTAAAGGACACTAGGCATGTGCAAAACCTGCTGAAATAAGGCAGATTTCAAACCAGCCCTATTTTTTTTTTTTTTTTTTTACAATCTTTATTTAAGAGTATTCATGTCTTTGGTACAATAAGTCAAGACTGAACAGATAACATAACATGACACAATCTGCTATTCTCTTTTTGTTGAAGGTAAGTAGTAGGTTAGGAACATCGGCATTGTTAGCAGAACAATGTTGCATAATACAAGTATCCAGTATTAGGGTTTATGCACATTAGATCAAAGACATCTGTGTAGGGTACATTACAGTATAGCATTGGTTTCACAATGCAGGGGGTAGCTGAAAGTTTCCCCGTGAATCACCTTATGATCCATAGGCGAGGGGTTGTGTTTTTCGTCTTTAGGTAATGGGTCCTTCTTTGGAGCCTACCCAGTCTGGGTTGGGGAGTAGGCCGCAGGCTACATTATATTTGAGGGGACTGCCAGTCTTTGGGATTTGACTTCAGTACAATGGCAGAGAGTTGTACTTTGTTCAGGAAGGTAAGTACGAATATTTGGGGAAAGAAGGAAAGGGGGATGAGAGGGAGCAAAGGAGAAGGAGGGGGAGATGATTACCCAACCCTCGTCCCAACACCCCTTGGCCTGTTGTTAGGTTGGTTGTGTGTCCACTGCATCTAGGCAAGCGTTCCGCCGCTCTAGGAGGCATTAGGGATTGTGCGTCTGGCTGGTCCTCTACCCATATTTGAGATATAGGTCACCCAGGGGTACCAAGCATTTGTCTGAGTGGACCTGGAGGTCAGTTGTCAGGAATTCCATTGAGTAGATTTCTTCCAGCTTTGTTACCCATTGCTGGAGGGTGGGCACCTCCAGGCACTTCCAGAGTGTGGGTATTAGGGACTTAGCAGCATTGAGAAGGGGTAGTATCAGTGATTTCTTGTATGTTTTCAGTGGCTGGGTGGTATGGTGTAGAAGCATAGTTAGTGGGTCAAGGGTTATTTCGGTGTCAGTAATTTTCTGTATTTTGGTGCGGATCATTAACCCAGTAAGGGGTTATGGAGAGGCACCACCACCAGACATGGATATTGGTTCCCACTTTGACGATGCACCGCCAGCATGTGTCTGATATCTCTATGTGCATGCGGTGCAGGACATCTGGCGAGTAATTTATAGCTTAATTCTTGGTACTTTGAACTGATAGAGCAAGAGGTGTTTCCGAGTTGTGCAGAGGTGTTCAAAGCTTGTTAGGGTCCTTGCAGGTAGCCCCTACCTGACAGTTACTGGTAATAAGTCCTGACTTGGTGGTAGCGGAATTGTTCAAGTATGGTTGGTCTCCTATCCAGACAGAGCTCTGTCAAAGTCTTGAGTTGGGTGGAGTTGCGCCATTGGTGCCGAGGTGGGGGGGTAGAAAGATAGAGGAGTGGAAGAAAGTGTTAAGTTGAGGGTTAGGGGACTAGGAAAGAATGTCAGCAGGTAACTATGACTCATCTCGGGTTGTGTCGTTCAGTGGTGTCGGTCCCTCGAGACTCTCGTAACCCAGTTGAACCCCAACTATATATACAGTATGAGTGTCATGTGGGGGTCGAGGAAGCTCAGGATAATTGAGTGTGTATCTGTAGGGGTGTTCAGCTCCGGGGGCTCCCAGCCCATAGTCAGGTGCTTTACAGTATATTTGTGCCAGGATATGTGGCTATGATGGGGTGTTTTAGCTTAAACTTGGCCACCTCGCTGGTGTGTCACCCGATATGCCATCGGGGGGCCTTGTGTACAGTCCGCCAGAGAATGCCACTTTTGCGTATCCAGGGCATCCCTGGTTTTCTCCCGCTCATCCTCCCCCCGGTCCGCAACTGTCCATGCTTAGCAATGCGAGTGCATCAGTTACCATCATGTTAACGTCATTTTGTATGTCTTTAGTCATCAGTGTGAGAGGACAGGGTGGTCCCTTTGGAAACAACATATGAACAAGCTTATAACAGGTATATCTGAACTGTAAAAAGCTGCCCTCCCATACTCCCGCCAGGGTCATCCCAGTCCCTGTCCCCGCTCCCCTCACCCCCACTTGACACCCTGGAGGGTCCTGGGACAATGGTCCTGGGGGCCACCCAGGGTTCACGCTGCATGGCGAAGGCCTCCCCACCCCCTCCTTCAGAGTTAATCCCTGCTTAGGTGCGGCAAAAAGGGGATAGAGAGCCAGACCCATTGTGTGAGAGTGCCCAGATGCGGGCCAGCTGGGTCGGGGTCATGCTTTACAGGGTCCAAGCTCCAGGGGTGATGGCATTAGCCGGAAGGCGGGCAGTCCCGGGATGAGTAGGCCTGTGCAATTCCCCCCAGATTAGTCCCATACCCACTCAACAGGAGAGGGTCCCCAAAGACAAGAGGCCTGTATCTATGCATACCCTCAGAGAACATGGGTCAGGGCATAGGTCCCAAGTACATATCCTTCTGGGTGATAGTCAGCTTCATGGCATGTCAGTCTCAGGATCAGCAATGTCCGGTGGTGCGTTAAACCAGCCTTATTTTTTGACATGCCTAGATGTTCTCAAGTAAGCTTCTTCAAAGAACCACCAATGAGGTGGGAAGGATCCTGCAGAACTGGAACCTATTACAGAATTAAAAAGATAAAAGATATAAGATTTATGGGCTAACCACCCTCCCCTCCAGAAAAAGAATCTTAGTGTTTCTAAACTACTGCAGATACATGCTTCCCCACATCAAAACTTATGGGATGCTGCCCTAAGTGCCCCTTTGAGCAAGCCTCCACTGTATCTGACAACATTTATGACCCTAAATATGACTTTTCTGGCATATGACTTTATGGAGATTAATTATGTAAATACCAAATTATACTAGTGTTAAAGTATATAGAAGGTGCTTAAATGAAAAAGAATTTTGTGTCAATATATCTTAAATCTTTGTGCTGCTAACCACTATCTTGTGTAAACCTCAAAAACACACTAAAACAACAAAAATATAGAATTATAGTTTATAATGCTTAAAAAATTATATTTTTAAGCGCTACACTATAATTCTATATTTTAATTACCAAAATATGCCCACTGAAGATTTATATAAACTTTGGATTTTCTACTTACCTTAGTTATCAACTATGTGTGCTTATACTGTTGGCTCTGTGCTAGTCTCTTCTTTGGAGATAAGTTCCCCTGATGTACTACAATTTTTATCTGGTTACCTTGAAATGTGAACCCATTTATATGCACATCTTGCCCAGCAATTTTTATTCCCCTGCGTATTTTGGACAAACTATCTACTCATTACTTACCTCTCATCTCTATGAGCAGGGTTCTGTTCTGGGACCCCTTCTATTTAACATGTTTATAAATTATCTTGAAAAAAGCACTGAAAGTCATATTTCAGTGATTGCAGATGACACAAAACTCTGTAAAGTAATACAATGTGATCAATATATTACTTTGCTGCAGAAGGATTTAGATAGATTGGGGGACTGGACAATAAAATGGCAGATTAAATTTAATGTAGTAAAATGCAAAGTTATAAGAATGTACAAGCAACTTATACCCTTAATGGAAGTGAATTAGGGATAACAACACACGAGAAGGACTTGAGAATTGTTGTAGACAACAAACTATGCAACAATGTGTAATGTATATTAGCAGAGGCTAAGGCCAGTAAGGTATTGTCATGCATGAAAAAGGGCATTAATTCTAGAGATGAGAATATAATTTTGCCTCTTTATAAATCACTGGTAAGACCACATCTTGAATATGCTGTGCAATTCTGGGCACCTGTTCTAAAGAAGGATATTATGGCACTAAAAAAAGTGCAGGGATGGGCTACAAAATTAATAAAAGTAATCAAATATTTTAGCTATGATAAAAGGTTAACAAATTTAAACCTCTTTAGTTTTGAAGCCCACGGAGCAAAGCAGGGGGGGGAGTGGGCCTTGACAGGGCCAGAAAGTTGGCAGGTGAATTGTAGGTCAAGGGGTGGGTTTAGGTTAATGAGTGGGGAGGAGAGTTAGCCTGTTAAATAGCAGCCATCTTACGTTTATGCCATTTTAATTTGAGCTGCCCTTACCTGTGAGTTGTCCCTCCCACCCTCCCTATATATATTTTGGTTGTGTTCCCGTTTGGTCACAGCGGCGGGAAAAAGGGCTTGGTTAAACAGGAATTTTGTGGGTTAGGAAAGTGTTAGGCCAAGGTCTAGGCTGGAGTAGGCTGGAGTTAAAGTGTTTGGTAGGTTCGAGCCCGTCGGTGGCTACGAACCAAGGGGTGTGGGGGTGTCTGGGTACACCCCTACAGGTAGATAAATGTTGTAGGGCCTCTTTGGTAGGCCGGGTGTTATTCGTTATGTATTATTTATAATGTTCGTATTGTTCTTTGGTAGGGTCATTGTCAGTGATATTTTGGGGGATGGAGCGGAACGAAGTTATTACTGTTGACAATGACCCTAAATTGTTAATTTAAATATTTTAATAATTAATAAAGCTGTGGACGTTATACTCCAACAGAATAATTGGTGTCCATGTATTATTTAAGTATAGTTAGCACATGCCGAATAACGTCTGTGCATATGTCAAGAAAAATCTCACCTCAGAGGGGATATGATAATATTATACAAATATATCAGGACCAATACAAACCATTGTGTGGAAATCTATTCACAAACAGGACTTTACATAGGACACAAGGTAATGCGTTTAGACTGGAAAAAAATAAGATTTAGTCTAAGGCAAAGGAAAGTTTTTTTACCGTAAGAACAAAAGGATGTGTAATTCTCAGCCTGAAGAAGTGGTTTTATCAGAGTCCGTACAGGTGTTTAAACTGCAACTAGATGCATACTTGCAAAAACATAATATTCAATTATATAATTTTTCAACTATAGGGTAATAACTTCTTGATCTAAGGATAAATCTGACTGCCGTTCTGGGGTCAAGAGGGATTTTTTCCCTAGTTCGTTGCAAAATTGGAAGTGCTACAAACTGGGTTTTTTGGCTTTTTTTGGATCAACAGCAAAAAACATGTCTCTTTTCAGCCTATGTAACTATGTAACATGCTTAAAAGATAGTACATATCGTCCCAGAATGACTCCATCCATTTGTGGGGCTAGAGGAGATGGAACATCAAAGGTATTATTAATTATCCCATGTTAGCTCTTTCACTGATTTTAGTATCTTAACATCTAAAACTCCTCTAAGCCATAGAGATTACTTTATCCAATTATGAGGCTTTGCTCAACAGCCTCAAACACGGGTTGCTGAAACTGCTCAAATGTTCTTTTTTGAGAAATTGTGTTACAAGTAAGCTTATGTCAAATGTCTGATTTCTATTGTTCATTTTCTTTAATTTATGTTTGACTGGAAAACACATACCCGCCAACATTGGCGTCCCAAGAAGCGGTTGGAAAAGGTTGAAGGGGGCAGGTCAGTGATGGGATTGTGTCACTGGCTCTGCCTAAAGGGGCTCAAGTTACTGGTAGCTTAGCCTAGCATTGCCTGTCCATCAACCAAACCAGCCCATTGAGGGCAGCACATGCAGGGAGCACTGTTTCAGCGCTCCCTGACGCATTCTAGTGATCTGAGTGTAGTGCGAGAGTGTCAAATGATGCACGCACACTACACTTTTTGGGCACAATTTACGAGTGTCCCCAAAAGTAGGGAGCAAAGTTGGAACAGGGTAAATCGATAATCTATTAGGCTAAATGTATGGATTAAAAACATATACTAAAATTATTCTACAAGGGATCAATGTTAATATGCATGCACTTTATAAGTGAATTAATATTGTTATGTAAATAATTTTTGATTATCATTATTTACTCTCTATGTAAATAGAAGATATATTTCATGATGGGACTTTTTTATTTATTGAACTGATACATTTGCAATATGGAAGCTAACAAATTCAATCATTTATGAGAAGATCGATAGATGGAATGCAAATAGTGAAATGCTGATAAATAATAAGATACTACCAGATTCAGAAATACGTAGAAATGAAGGCGCCATATTCGAGTTGTGAAACGCAAGTGTAAGGATAATGGAAGGCATATAGGAAGTGATGTAATGGAACCAATACCAGAAGAGATGTAGCACTTCAAAAAGCGAGCATGAAGGAGGCCTGGAATGCAACATGCCCATGGAAATAGTGGTGGAAATACTATCGACCACAGCCAAGAGCATCTAACATTAACAAGAAGGGGTATAAATATGAGGAAATGACCAGTGAATTAATATTATATTGATTATGACAATATATATATATATATTTGTATATATATATATATATATATATATATATATTTGGTCATCTTGTTTCTGGATTCTGTGAAGAGGTGGAGTGGACCTTCTCCACACAAAGCCCATTTACTGAGCCACTGGATTAGCTCAGCTTCTGTGAGTTCTATATATATATTTTTTTTACGATATTACGCTATATTCCTCCTCTCTTCCGAGATTATATTATA